ATATCACGTATCCTTAAAATTACGTACAAATTCAATTGTTATCCAATTTTTTGGGTAAACACATAATTGCACCTCTTGTCTGCTCAGCGACCAGATCGATAAACTACAGCACTGTTCTTGTACTCTTCACTGTATTTTTAGTATTGTTTTTATTGCAAATTTAACTGAATATGTTATATTAACGAATATCTTTTGACTTAAAAATCTCGTCACTACTTCATTGAGGTTAGTCAAGATACTTACGGAGTACATGGAGCTGCGTAGCCGTGGAGGACAGAGCCTGGCATTGGAGGCGTATCAACATTCCAGACACGGACTACCATTGTTCGTGGTAGTTTAGGATTTATATTTCTGTTTATGTAAATTTTAAACAGATGATGTATATTTTCTCAAACCGAATTTGTAATATTATTCGTAGTCGCTCGTGACTTGTACTATCAGTCCTTGAGAGGTTGTATAGAATTCAGTTATTTATTTCTTGCTATGAATGATCTATCATTTTAGTTATCTTATTGTATGTTTGGCTTACCTAGCATTAAGATTAGGTGCCATCACGATCTAGTGAGATTTTGGGTCGTGATAATTCAATATGTTGTAAGAAGAAAGTTTGATATCAAGCCGTGTTTAGTAATTGTCTATTTTTAATATATTTTTCCCTTGCATTTTCTTTTGATCTCATACACATGTTTCTTTGAACACATTTCCTTCGAAATTAGAAAGTATCAGAACTAATTTTGTAATACAATATAATTCAATAACGTTGATGCTTTCTGCCCTTTCGAGATCTCCATAACAAGATATTTTCATTCAAAATAGCCCAAGGTAAACTAAAATTAATCTCACTAAATGTACCCAAAGAACGTACGTCTAATCTTAATAGCTTTCCTATTTTGATGCTTCAACAAAATTAATTCCTTAAATTATACTACATCTAATTCATATTATTTGTTCTTTAAGATTTTGTAAACTCCATAAAAAAGATATTTAAAAGCCTTAATTATAACGTATACTTGGTTAATTAACTATTATTTATTTTATTCCTTATGAGACGTTTGTAGGATGTATTAAGAAAAATAATACATGTATTAGTTTTGGTATTATTAATTCCTTGTTTGATAGTATTTTCAACCTATGTATAACTAATATTTGTATTAGTTGTACATCTATTCAATACTATTCTTATACATAGCAAACCATGATATTAACAATACCATGGCCTTTAATAAATGGATAAGCATGTATAAAGATAAAATTATCCTTTCAAAATCTTGTCCAATGTTTTTCAGAGGGTATTTTTGGGGTAAATTTCACAAATGGTCATATAACTATGACTTTTTTTCACCAAAGTTATATAACTTTATTTTCTCACACAAAAATCATATAAGTATGATATTTTTTCACCAAAGTCATATAACTTTGTTTTCTCACACAAAAATCACAAAACCTTCACTAACTCACGCAAAAATCATGATGGTCGAAAAATAAATTTTCCGATAGTATTTTCTTATTTTACGCTTTTTTATTTTTTATTTTCAGTCTAATAAATAATTACCCAATTAAAATAGGAATGACTCAACCTGACCTGACCCGCCCAACCCAATATTCATATATATAAATTAAAATAATACTAAAAGTGAATAGTAAATACTTCAAAAATATGATATTTCTGTCTTTTATTTTTCTTTTCAAGATTTTTATTCAAATTAATAGCATTTTTATTTCAAGTACTCTCTAATTATACCTTTTATTTCTTTATTTTTTTGTCAGAATCTCATGCATTACGAACTAAATTTTTTATTGGGGAAGAATTCACTTTTAGTATTATTTTAACTTACATATATGGGTATTGGGTCAGGATGGGTAGGGTCATTTTTATTTTAAGGAAAAAATATAAAATTAATCGACCGGCCGAAACTAATTGCATTTGCTAGGCAAAATATATATAGAANATATATATATTATCAGCTATTATTTTTAGAAGCGGCTAAAAATATACTCATATTTCTTCTATTCTAATTGGGTAAAATAAGAAAATACTACCAAAAAATTTATTTTCCGATCACTATGATTTTTGTGTGAGAAAATAAAGTTATATAACTTTAGTGAAAAAAAGTCATAGTTATATGATTTTTATGTGAGAAAATAAAGTTATATGACTTTGGTGAAAAAAATCATAGTTATATGACCATTTGTAAAATTTACCCGGTATTTTTGTAAACAAATAATATTTTAAAAATATTATGCTATGCATATTATTGTTAATACACCAAACTAAATATTCGATAAGAAATAATCACATCATAACTAATTTCAGCATTACTAGTAAATTATTTAGTATTATTCTTATACACCCTACCGAACGACCCTTAAAGGTCTTACTTAATTACCAATCCACATATTGAAACGATAAGCATATATGTAAACATAAAAATGATATTAAATGATTTTCTCATTTTGAGATCAATTATCCCAAAATTAAACCAAAAATAATCCAAATTTTAGGTTGTACGATTTGTCTTCGTTACAATAAATGAGAGAATGAGTCACATGAATATACATCCTCTGTCAGTCCACTTTTACTAGTCTATTCTTCACTTTCCACACATTTTAACAAATAATAAAAGAAGTATATAATTTATTATGATACCCATATTAATTGATGTATATTTTTAATGGATTTGAGAAAATAATTTGTAATGAGTAATTAATATTATGAAACAGAAAAAAAAAATTATCTTCTTTTAATATGCGAAAAGTGATAAGTAAAAATTTATTTTTTAAATACTGGACAAGTAAAAGTAAACAAAGAAGTATATTTTATTAAAAAATATTTCGCGTTTCTATGTAAAAGGGGCAAATATAAGAGGATACTAATATTTACCAAAAAGAAGAGGGAATCTTTCAAGAATACAAGAAAAGACATGCATGCATTTCAGGGTTGTCAGAATGGGACTCCTAAATTCTTTAAATTTCTTAGAAACTGAAATCAGTCCACTGAGGGTCGGTGTCTTTTCTTCATACTTAAAGGGACAATTCTTGTTATTACACACTCTCTCTCCTTGAATTATTTTGTGATATTTTCTAATCCACAGTTAGTATATAGTAGCTATTATTGCTATATTCGTGATAAGGTGGGTGTAACTCCTATTGAGGATAAGATGCGAGAAACGCGACTTAGGTGGTCTGATCAAGTGAGGAGAAGGAGCACAGACATCCCGGTGAGGAAGGGTGAGAGGTTGACATTGGAGGGCCTATGGAGAGGTAGTAGGCCAAAGAAAAGGTGGAGAGAGGTGATTATGCAAGACATAGCGCAACTTCAACTGACCGAGAACATGATCCTTGATAGAAAGGTATGGACGTCGAGGATTAAGGTAGTAGAATAGGTAGTCTAGAGTGTTCATAACAGTAGTATTGACACATAATCTCGCTTTCTGTGGGCAGTAGGTTTTATGACTAACCGTTATTTTCTTTTATTGTGGATAACCTTTTTACCTTATTATTTTTATTCTACTTTTATATGATTTTTTGGTACTGTGCCTTCTTGTCTATATTTTCATTAATGTAGTACTTATGTTTTCCTGAACCGATAGTTTATTGGAAACAACCTCTCTATACTTACAAATCACAAGGTAGGGGTAAGGTCTGCGCACACACTACTCTCTCCATGTCCCATGATGTGGGATAAGACTGGATATGTTGTTGTTGTAACTATTATGGCTATATATTAGGTACTTAGATGAGCTCCTTCATTTTAATTAAGGTTATATATTAACGTCACGCCGATTATAAGGTTTAACAGGTTTAAAAAGAAGAAACCACTTGACATTTTCTGTTTGAACTAAAATTTGAATTGTACACCATTATTTTAGTTCATTTTATTGAGCACCTTTGAGTACAAAAGACTATACATAGACAAACTTAAACTAGTTTAAAATTTGCTGTTGTATTTTTCTCTTTTATTCTTGCTAATATCTGAATCTTCTGTGACTAACTGCCTTGTGATTTTAACCCCTCATAAATCACACTGTGGGACCCAACATAGGAGACCCCACCAATTATCTTATCATCTCATGCTTTGCACAATATAGCAACTGTATACCAACGGCTCCCTTGCTGTCAGCTGTATGTATCTCTGTCTGTCTTTTAGTGCACGTTTGACGTTAACATCACAAGTTGCCTCTTTAATAGCTTATTTGTATAGTTACTTATCGTTTCATAATGTATCGTATTGTACTGTATTATATTATATTATTTGATAAATATAATGTTTAGATAAATTATATCATTTGCCATCATTTCATGATATCACGTACTAACAATACAAAAAATAAACTTATAATATTATAAAGAATAATTATGATACAAGGTAAAACTATTAAATAAAAAGATAGGGTAAACGATTAAATAAAATTATTTAATAATAATGAAGGGTGAGATTGAGAAAAAAAGATAAGGTAACGACGCGACTACACCAAATCGATCGTTACATAAAGTGGCCCATTTCGTCGTTATGTAACGATGAATTTAACGATACGATATAATAAAATTTAAGTAACAATCAAAATAAACATCGTATTTAAAGTAACAATACGATACAATACAACGGGTAACAACCATCCAAACAAGCTATAAGTAACCAACTTCTATATTTATGAAAAAGGTGAAAAAGTAATAAGGAAAAGTCTTTTCTGTTGGGATAGAGTAATAATTTCTTTTCTTTTTTTTTAGTATATTTTAAAATAAATGATATATTTTTGAATTTAAAAATAATTTAAATTTAAATTTTTTATTTTATCTATTTTACTTTTAATAAAAATCTTTTATAACCGTATAAATATCATGACCACGAAACTTGCTTTAAGAGCAAAAGTCTTTTTTTACTCATCTTTTAAAATATTTATAATAAAAAATTCTTTTTGACCCGTGAGAATTACAAAAAATAGCCTGACCACAAAAAAGTGGGCAAAGCCATTGGATTCAGTGACTTTTTTGTTGCTTATATACTGCTTTTGGTATTACATGTAAATGGTATATCCCATAAGGTTGATGGTGTTTTGCTGTTCTTGATATTTTTTGGGTTTTTTCAAGATTTCATCTGTCACCAAACAAGATTCTCTGATCTTCAGATTCTGGGGTTTCATAAAAAATGAAGTTGAGCTCTATATTTGTCGAAAGATCAGTTCTTTTGTCTCAATTTATTTAATTTGAGGTTTTGCTTTGCTTTCCTGTTCTGTAAATCCACTGAAAGATCGTTACTTTTTTGACCTGTGATTTGCTTCTTCTGGATAGCTTCAAGACTCATAACGTAAAAGGTTGTTTAAATTGCTTCAAATTTTTGTAGGGCAGGTATGTTTAGTTGCTGATTTAGTAGATTCCATGGAACTAATGCTACTATAGATTCTTAGCCAGAAATGTGGAAAAGGTGATATTTTTAGGAATCTTAGTACATACCTTTCCAAATTGAACTGATAATGACGAAAAGTTTCAACCTTTGTAGTTCTTGAAAGTGGAAAAAGTTGGGATTTTTATTATAAGGAGAACTGATATATAAGAAATCTATTAAGATTTTGGATTGAGTTTTTTTTATGGTAATGGAGAAACAGGTTAGTTTCCAGGGTCCAACAATGGAAAAGCAACAGAGTTTTCGAAATGGGACGACGGAGAAGCAGAAAAGCTTTAGAGGAATAATGGAAAAACAGAAAAGCTTTAGGATATCAATGGAGAGGCAATTAAGTTTTGGTGGTGAGAGGAAAAGGGGCAAGGAATCACCGGGGAAACGAGGGGATTCGATTCTCCACCTTGCAGCTAGAGGAGGGAATTTAGGAAAAGTGAAAGAAATTGTTGACAAGTTTGATGAGAAAGGCATAAAAGATTTTCTATGTAAGCAAAACCAAGAGGGTGAGACTGCTTTGTATGTTGCTGCTGAAAATGGCCATAGTTTTGTTGTTGCAGAGTTCTTGAAACATTTAGACCTTCAAACTGCTTCAATTGTGGCAAATAATGGCTATGNCCCAAAACCCAAATTAAAAAGAAAAAAGAACAAAAAAAGGAACAAGAAAAAGTTGAGGTCTGAATTTACTAAATGCAGATTCCAGAATGCTTTTGAAGAGTCAAAATTTCCAGTAAAGATGTGGACTTCGTAGATGAAATGGATAATTGTGCTTTATTTGGTACATTGTGGACTTGAACTCGGTACTTCACATGCAGTTTATTAATGCTAATATTGGTGACTAGAGTCTGCAACTTCTATCCTGAATCTTAGTTTCCGGACTTTTAAGTTGAGATGCTGTAGTATATATTATTTCTGATTAAACTTCTTGTTTGACCATAAGCCTAGTTGCTGAAATTATTAATAATTTTGAAGTGCAGCCACCTATGTTATCACCAGCGTTGAATGTGAGTAACCCACTTGTGAGAATTCATAGAGAGTGATACTATGTAAGGTTATTCTCTCTCATGTTACTTCCAAGATTATTAGAGTGTCTCTAAATTTGTACTCTCTTTTATGCCATATCTGAAATGGTGGATTGCTAATTTCCATCTGTAGATGTATATCCGATGATCGAACCACAAAGATTTCTTTGTAGTGTATTTCTCTTTGTAGTCTTAATTATGTAATTAGGAGTTGGTTTATCAAACTGCATGTATCATCCAGAACCTTGATCCTAACACTTGGCCTGTGTAACACAATCACATTAGAGCTTATATATTTGTGGGGATCGGAAAAAGAAATTTTAGTTGTCAAGTCTTGATCTATTATTGCTGTTTCAAGCTTGTTTAGGAAACTTGTTAAACTGGACTTTAGTATGTTCCTTTCTCACTTGCACTTGTAAACACTGAGGACAAAATTGCAGATGTACTGGAGGAACTGCTGCGTTCATTTCCAAACCTAGTAATGACCACAGATTCATCCAATTCTACGGCGTTACACACAGCAGCTGCACAGGGACATATTCATGTAGTAAATATGCTTCTGGAGATTGATTCAAACCTTGCTAAGATTGCTCGGAACAATGGAAAGACTGTGCTCCATACAGCAGCAAGAATGGGCCACTTGGAGATAGTTAGATCCCTTCTGAGCAAGGACCCTGATATTGGTTTTAGAACAGATAAAAAAGGCCAGACTGCCCTACACATGGCTGCAAAGGGACAAAATGCTGGCATCGTGCTTGAATTAATCAAACCAAATCCTGCTGTATTGGCCTTGGAAGATAACAAAGGAAACAGAGCACTTCATATTGCAACAAGAAAGGGAAGGGTACAGGTTTGCTTGTTTAACCAATTTTTTCTCGTAAAGCAACTTCCACGAAGTTGAGATTTTTTATGTGTGAGGCGAATGTAGTACGTGTTTTCTATCTTGAAGAAATGCTCGTAGATTGAGCGAATACTGTTTATATGGTTAATCAAGAAAGAAAGTTTCAAACTTGAGGGATGATGGGCAGGTGAAGACTGAGTTCATTTTGTGCCACAAAATGGTTATTGAAATGAGTTACTGATAAGTTCCAGTTTGCTAGACAGTTATATTCCTGGAGAGAAGGAATATTTAGAAACACTTAATCTTTTAATGTCATATATCATGTCCTCACACACGTGATCTGATTTCATTCTATGATTTGCACGCACTTGGTCAGTGTCGGTTACTTTAATTTAATATGAAAATTTTGACCCACATAAGTTGCATTCTTTGTACGTATGTGATAAGTTCCTCATTCAGAAGTAGCTTATCTTAGATGGCTGTGTTTGACGTAAGAGCAACCAAAAAGGGGTACTTCATTGATGACTTAATGTAGAAGTTGGAGAAATATTTAATAATTATCCTATTATTTTAATCTTATTTACTAGTTTCTGAAGGCTGGAAAAGCTTTTGAAATGTTGGAACGTTTTTAAAAATTTCCAGCTAAAACTGATAAATGGATTCATATATATTTAAGAGAAAAGTAGCTTATCTGTCACAAAAATGCACTTTTCCTTCCAGAAAATCCAGCATTTTCTTTATCACTAAACCTAAAATCTGTAAGAGCTGACGTAAACTGCTAACTGATTTCGATGCCTCCTGAAAGCAAGATAGCTTACTTAATTCAACCACAAGGAAGAAAGAAACCACAAGGACTACCAAGCAAAATTTTATCTTGCTTGTTTCTTCCGAATACATCTTTTCTGGGATTAGGTCGTTTACATATGGTCTCTGGTAAATTATTGTGTTTACATTTATGATACCTTGGCGATATAGCTCCCAAGTACGTTTCCAAGTGCAGGCTTGTTCTGCTGTTATGTTTAAAATGTTCATATATAGGGACATCAAGAATCAAGCTACTGTGCAGTCTCTAGCTCGAAATTGTGCATTGGATGTTCAGGCCAGTTTAAGTGACAGAAAGTTTTTGAGAGATATTCTTTGGCTTTAATTTTTTTTTAATCTAGGAAAACCAAAGTCCTACTTCATGTGTCCTTTTTAGTTGTCTGTATGAAACTATGCAGATGGTACAATGTCTTTTGCATGTTCAATCTAGCAAAAACCGACGTCCTAATAAAACTCTGCTATGTGTAATTGCAGATGGTGCAATGTCTTATGTCAACTGAGGGCATCGATCTCAATGCCATTAATAAGGCTGGAGAAGCGGTTCTTGATATTGCAGAAAAGTTTGGAACTCCAGAGCTTGTTTCTATTTTGAAAGAGGCCGGAGCTACGCATTCCAAAGATCAAGGGAAGCCCCCCGGTGCTGCAAAGCAACTCAAGCAGACTGTCAGTGACATAAAACATGATGTGCACTCCCAGCTCCAACAGAGTCGTCAGACTGGCTTCAGAGTACGGAAAATTGCATTGAAGGTGAAGAAGCTCCACATTAGTGGGCTTAATAATGCCATCAACAATGCAACTGTTGTCGCTGTCCTTATTGCAACTGTTGCTTTTGCTGCCATCTTCACTGTACCTGGCCAATATGTTGAAGAGAAAACAGATGGATTTTCACTTGGCGAAGCAAATGTAGGCAGAAAAGCAGCTTTCATAATCTTCTTCTTGTTCGACAGTATGGCCTTGTTTATTTCAGTTGCTGTTGTCGTGGTCCAGACATCTGTGGTCGTGATTGAACAGAAAGCAAAGAAGCGACTCATGTTTTGGATAAACAAGCTCATGTGGGCAGCTTGCCTCTTCATCTCGATCGCCTTTATCTCTCTTAGTTACGTGGTAGTTGGATCTAAGGAAAGATGGCTTGCTGTCTATGCAACTGTGATTGGTAGCATAATAATGCTCACTACAATTGGCTCCATGTGCTATTGTGTGGTTCAACATAGGCTAGAAGAATCGAGGCTGAGGAGCATTAGAAGAGATGAGACTCATTCACGTTCTTTCCCATTGTCTGTGGCATCAGATACAGAGCTTTGCAGTGAGAACTACAAGAGGATGTATGCAGTCTAGGAAGAACAATCAGGTAGCTTTCTGCGTATGGCATAAAAAACGGAGCTTTGTAATTAAAACTATAAGCAAATATATGCAGTTCTCAAACATGAGGTCCAAGAACTTGTGCCACGGCATCAGATTCAGAATGGTGAAAGTACAAAAGGGATCTGTGCTGCTTAGGAACAAATGAGCAGAGAGTTTCAATAGATTCTCAATAATATTTCTATTATATCTGTCCCCGCAGAATTCTCTAATGTGGGTTCCTGCAACCACTGAATTGTTGCAAACTGGGGTTGCATATTCCATAGAAGTTCAAAATGAAGCCTTAGCAGATCTTTCAGTTTTCTCCTCATGAAAATGCAACAGTTTCGAGAAGCATGCTTTCTTGAAGTTGACTAATTATATGGTTACAATACTAGCACACCAGATTGGCACTCTGTGACAAGAATGTGGGGATGGCTGCTATTTACTTTCTTATGCCTATATACCTGATCAACTCCTTACTTCATCAAACAAAATGGTGTCGTTGTATATTTTATTATAGTTTTTTTGCCTCATCATGAGGTCCATCTTTTCTAGCTGCAATAATTTGTTAGAATTCTGCCAACATGAAGAACAAGCCCTGAGAATGAGCTAGTTCTGTGAAAGTTGAGCTTGTACGATAACTAGTTGGTGGTAGTGCCCGGGCCCATTGACCTTATTAATTTTCTATTTAACATAAAGAACTCTTGTTTATAGACTGCGAAGCAAAGTTAAACAAAATCTATACAGTTTGATTCAAAATGTTTGAAAACTAAGAATATAACTAATTAACTTTATGAAACTAATAAAAATATACAATGTGGGTGTGTAAATCAAGATATTGTTCTTCTTGTTGCTGCAATTCTACCAGTTGTATTAGATCCCTAATAGTTTTCGTGTTCTTAGGAAGCAGATTTTTTTTTCCTTGCGGCCGAGGCAATAAGCTGATCTGAAAAATGCAGAAGTAAAAAATGCCTTAGCACATGTGCGTAATAAGGCACAATGAATCCGGAAGCTATTAGTGTAGCTCAATGACTAATTCCTAAATGTAAACTATTAGCTTCAAGCTTCAAGTTATTGTGGTAATACATTTTTGGAAGCCAACTTTTGAATGTGATAAACCAGTGATAAATAAATAAGTAGAACTACATAGTGTGGAGAGTTGTACATCTATTGCAGAAATAGGACCTAAGTGAATAACCTAAGCAAATCCAGATTGTGCCATAGAGAGATGGTAATGCACAATGAATAAAATGATGTTCTAGAAGACTTAAAGACTGAACCATAACCATCTGCTCCAAGAGATGCACCGATAAAGAGATGATTTTAATAAAAAGGAATACAGAAACTTGGCCAATCCTGATATTTAACTTATTCTGTGGCAGGAAAGGATGTATGTATGTATGTTCAGGAGAGACATTAAGTGCAATATGTTCATCCCAGTTGAGAATATTTTCAGAAGTATATTTTCCTGGAGTGTTTCCTTTAAGTTAATATTTATTTGTAATGCTTCAGAGAAACTTAAAAGAAAAAGAGGAGTAGGAGGAAGGTCAAATCTCCATTTCCACTCCGTCAATAAGATTATACGGTGAGATATACCTGCTGAATGTTTCTGTTCATCAAGTATGGGTTTCACAGGTTATCTAGAGGCTTCCTTTGGAACGTTGCTAGCTTCCGGAGGAGCATTCATCAATTGTTTATAGAATCAACTACTGAGAAAACTAAAAGGGCAAAAACCGGGGCATATCGAGTTCGTAGACATGTGAAACACTGATCCTGTTGTTTCTATTTTATGTTTGTCACTGACCACTTCTCTTCTGCTCCTTTCACATTCTTCTCCTGCTGTTCGGGCTGCCAAAAAATTCCCAACAGAATTCAGAAGGCAGTTTTTTATGTGAAGGAAAAAATAATATAAAATAATAGAATAACGTTTCTTCTGTATTCGTATTCATAATTGCGAGGTTTCAAGTATTAGATGCCTCTATTCAAGAGGAAAATCACTTACGTGACTGTTGTTGGTCTGTCCAAGTAGTATTAGAACTTCATAATCTCTATGCAAGGATTCAGGATACAGAGAAATCTCAGTAAGCATCTAAATGATAATAAATTAACTTTTAAAGCGTTGACGATCAAATTTTTGCAGAATATTGATCAGTTGTAGGTCAAATCTCAAACAAATGACTGCTCATAATATAACTATCAATTCACAACAGGGACGCTTCAATGATTTCATCATATACTAAATTTTGTGTTGTGTGATCATCGTTGCTATCAGCTATTGGCGGTCGAATCAACATTTTCACTGCACGATAAAGCAACATAAAGCTGACCATGTGAAAAAACAAACTCTCATAAATAAATTCCAACAAAATTTAATGTTTGACCTTGAGCTTTATTAATAGTCATAGCAAAATATAATCTAATCGAAAATTGTGTTCTTTTGAAAGGAACAGGTAGTTTTTCATCTTGTGAAGACAACAACGGTATTCTCGGAATAAATACGTGCGTGTTTCTTGAATCACCACTTGTAATTTTTGCGCTTATGACATGCCTCTCAAAATTACAATATATAAGTCGTGTACTATTACATAAACCTTCGCAGGGGTTTAAATTCTGTAGTAAAATAACGGGACAATTTATTTTCTCGGTTAATTTACAGGGAGGTGAGCCAGGTGGGTGTAAAGTATGTAAGAAATCTTCATATTGACTTTGATCATTCGTTTCAATAGTTTCATCAAACGCTACATATGTTCTAGATTCACCCAAAAATTGGGTTATGAGCATATCATTTATTTCGTCAACAAAATTATTTTTTGCTATTAAAATAACACGAGAATTTGTCGAAGACATATCACAAGTAGATGTATACAAATCCGGATAGGTAATTCTAAATAACAGATTCAATGATTCTTTTTCACTTATAAAAGGAACAATGAAACAATCAAGAATTTCAATCTTACCTTGAAAATTTAGTTTTTCTTTTCCGCTCCCTATTCGCATCAAATAGTCGCAGAAAGCAGGATTTGTTCTTGCTCGCATGTTTACTGATAATCACAATTTTTCAAGTTGGTTCCAAATTTCAGAACATAATAAACTTCCTCGTATGAAATCTTCTTCTTTTTTTCACTCCGAACAACCGGGAGAGTTTGTCTAAAATCACCATCAAAGATGATAACTTTTCCACCAAAGATGGTCTTTGTATCCATTAGATCTTTCAGTAGTAAATCAAAAGCCTCTATCAACTATTTTTTGACCATAGATACTTCGTCCCACACGATTAGTTTGGCATCTCGTATCAATGATGCAAGTGAACTTTGCTTACTGATATTACATGAGAAATGTTCATCAATATCAATAGGAAATTCAAAACGGGAGTGAGCAGTTCGTCCTCCTGGAAGAATTGAAGCCGCGACACCAGATGTTGCTGTTGCTAGATCTACGAATCCTTTTGATCATACAGTAGCCAATAATGCGTGATAGAAAAAGGTTTTACCAGTTCCTCCGGGACCATCAATAAAAAAATCTCCACACTTATTCTTAAATATTCTATCAAGGATTATATCATATGCTTTTCGCTGATCATCGTTCAATTTTGTTTCTAGTAACAAATCCTCTTCTTTAACAATTATATTTCTTTCAAAATGAGAATCTTGAGCCTCTCTAGCAGCAGAAGAAGCTAAAATTCTTTCTGGTGTGAGTGTAAATTCATTTATGTCACGACCCATTAAATGCAGAATGTCATTAATATGGTTTAAGGCCATATGACGAATCTGTTTCGAGTTTAAGTTTGGCAAAATCTTGAAGTCTTCGGACATAGAATCTTCAAATGGATTTCAATGTTCTTTCGGTTTAGCAGGATTACAATATACAAGAAGTGTTGCAAATAAACGTCTCAAACTATAAGTCATCTGATATCTTACATCTTCTAACATACAATCAACTAAGTTATTATCACATTGTAATAAGCCTCGTTTTTCTGCTGCTTCTCTAAATGTACTGCAACATACTCCATTTATGGTTAGCAAATGTTGGTATGATTTCGGCCCTCTAATGTTCATTAATAACAATCTAAGATAGTACCTTTCTTCTTCTATTGGATGACATGTGACTATACGTCCAATAGCAACACCTTGCTTTCAACGTGTCCACATTCTATATTGTTTGGACCATATAAAGTATTCCGGAAATTCCTTGAAGAGTAAATTTAACTTCTTTGCATCCTTATTTTCTCTATTCATCACAAAGAATTCTGTCAACATGGTTTTTCTGATCATGGGGTTATTCACAATTGAATTTATGGTATGTGTGCTTTTAAAAGAGACAAATTATTGTCCATCAAGATGTAGCTGAAGATGGTAAACAGATGGAGTCATTTCACTAATGGGAAAACCAAATAAATGCCAAGTTGCCTCCGGTGGAAAAACCCATCTAGCAGATTGATATTCTTTGATCTCATCTATTTCAATATTTGGATCATCAGCATGTACGAAAAAGGCAATTTTATCATGTCCCTTACAAATATATTTATAAAGGTATTTAACAACTTTAATATCAGAACAAACTTCAACATTAATATGGCAGTTAAATTTTCTCAATAGATATGGATTGTAAGGAACGACCCATGAATTGTCAAGAAATTGGCTTCTAATATTTGCAAATTTACCGTTATTTCGCCTTCTATAAATTGGGTATCCATTTTTCCCCCTATATATATGATCAACAAATTCTTTTGGATATTTGAACTTACAATATTCCATGTTCTTCATACAAGGACATTTAAGATTTAAGCTATCACAAGGTCCATGCATCATATGTTTAGTAACAAGTGAATACAGGTAGTCATTCTTACCAGAGTCGGACAGTTCAGCACAAACAAATTTATCATAAGCTTCCGGAGTTAACAATTTATATTCGTTATTAAGTATGATAAAAAAAAATGGGCATGTGAAAGACAACACTTTTGAAATTAAATAGTGTACATAAAAGCAACAACTTTTTCAAATATATTTCTCTTCAGTATATCTGTTTTCATCTCCTCTACCTTAGCTCTAAACACTCGACTAATTAAATCGGGCCTATTTTGTACCTCATGTGTTACCAATAAATGTTCTTCTATTTCTGGCCATGATGGATTACATGTCATTGTTAAAAATATATCAGGTTTCCCAAAATTTTGCACTAACGCAATAGCGTCCATATATCGTTGGCGCATATCTCTAGGACCTCCTATAAAACTTGCAGGTAAAAAACTTTGTCTTCCTATGTTGCATGCCTCTCGCTCACCATGTCTTAGAACGTCAAGAATCCCCGCTAACGCATCAATTCGAAATAAATCTTGATTAAATGAATAGAAATCTAACATTTGAGTCTCAAGCTTGATGAATTCATCAACTGGGTATTGTTGGAATACTCTTCCTGCATGTAAAACTCCATTTTCTTCGCCATCCCTCATTTGGAGCTTGTAACAATAATACTCACGACATGACACAGTATTTCTTTTTCGTTTCTATTTTTCCAGAAGTTCTGCTTCCATGTCAAGTAGCATGTCAACTGAATACATGTTTTGTACACTTGGTAGCTGCTCATTTTCACAATAAGTTCCATGGCTAATAGTATTATTCGTTCGCATAATCTTTTTAATACCACAATGCCATCCGTTCTGTCCATAAGGAAATAGTAATTGATACTGCAATGGATCATAACAACCATAGTAGTAATTTACCAATTGGCTTTTACTACTGTGTATAAATTCGAAAATGTGGTAGAGAAATACTGAAACTACTTCCATCTTCTATCCATATCACTGCTACTTCAGACGATGTTGGTAAGTTATATGTTCTTTGATCTAAACCAGAGTCAGACTTAAGCGCAATATAGAAGTTTGATAATTCTGGGATATCTGTTAAAGATTTCAAAAAAAAAGAGAGAGTATGGATTAACTTTTAATGTGTCCATCAAAGTCCTGTTAACTGATTCGTTAAGCTTGTCAGAGAATGCCATCCGATTTGCTAGTTCATTATCAGTATCATAGAAATATAACTGTAGATATTTTGCTGGCTGACTCGAAGGCAGGAGGTCATTTATGAAATGATACATTTTCCGTTGAACTCTAAACGTATAAATACCACAATTTCTTCTTGCTAAATCTCTGTCATAGTTCACTCCAAGAGAAGTAAATGCAAACATATTGTTATACAATCTAACATAAGTGCGAAAATGTTTGGACTCCTCAGAGTTTCCTAAATAAAGATTTAGGAGTTAAACAGGTAGTCCATAGTGAATCAATTTCACTGATCTATTATCACAGCAAAATCTCGGTGATTCATATTGAAATTTTTTGGCTCTACAAAATTTACAATTCGGTACAGTTTTCAGTCTATAAGGGCTATTGGGCAAGTCAATAGTGTTCCACTGACCCAATTTTTAAGATCTACGACCTGTTTTTTTTGGGGTTAACCAAAGGGAACAAATGTCACACTGAAATGACTTTAAAGCTATAAGAAACCAAACCTCTATTTGCAGTGTTATGCATAGTAATATCATACTGTTCAGCGCATGTTCCCTAAGATATAAGGAATTAAGCATATAAGTCTGGCTGTTTAAACATTCTACAAATTTGAACACCATACTTCTACACTTACCAACTTCAAAAATACATGAGCTATCACGGACATCTTTGACATTATTAGAAACATGGGAATCCTGAACTGTGGACATATTTTCTAAGATAAAAAAGAGTGTTATGAACGTTAATGTCTCATAGTTCAGTTCAGGATAAAAAAATCTTAGTTTACAAACATGTTCTCAAAACAGAAGATGAGGCTCCTCTTAGAGCAACTGTTTGTTCAGCAAACTCTCCATTAAATTGATAAGAAGTTGATACTTCAGTGGAATTACTGATTGGCTTCTGCGTTCTAGAATGAAGATACGTCGATCGTCGCTGTAATAAGTTCAGTTCTCTTCTATCAGCCGATGTCGCCCTATATATTTCACGGCGTCTCTGTTTTATTTTGGTGCCTCTTTCTTCAGAGCATTGGCGTTTTCCTTTTTCTTGCCAGCATATTGAGTCCACATTTTTACCCAGCCTAGACATCTTGGTAATTTTGTCTGTGAAAGTTTCACATAAACCAAATCAAAACTTACAAATAAAATATATGCACTACACAGCAATGAACATCAGCATGCATTGCGGAGACGATACACAGAACAAATTAACTAATGAATTCTTGATATAAAGTGTTGGTAAAGTACGATAAAATAAAGAAATTTAGCAGGCAACAAAAGCTAAAACGTAGATATTTTTAGTAAAAGCAGAGTTGAGAAAATTGTACAGCTGAAGAGACTCAAAAGCTAAGACGTGGAAGGAGAGTTGAGCAAATTGTACAACTGAAGAGACAAAGCAGTGGAGCAAATAAATGAAAAGGACAGAAAGTTGCTAAATTTTAATAAATAGAACAAGTACATCAATTTTTATGCAGCGTATGTAATGGAAGAAAAATAGGCAGCTTAATTAAAAACAAGAACATAAAGGATAAACAAATAAAGCGTACAAGTTTCCCTGTACCTCAGCACAACTAAGCATGCCATGAATATGATAAATGAAAAGAACTGTAGAGTTCAATGTTACATCAAGAAATTAGCAAGAGGTCCTACTTTTAACAGGTAGTACTACTTTTCACTTCATTCTAATAGATTGCACTTATGGTCACCAGCACTAATACTTACAAATTACTAATGCTATCATCCATGACAAGAACTTAAGTAGATGCCAAAAGGTTCAAAAATGTTACATATAGAATTTTGATTGATAGGAACAGTGTTAAAGAAGTATTAGTTTTCTGACAAACACATTAGGTATTATATTGGCTATAGAACAATATATTTCCATGTTAATTTCTGAGATATAACACATAAGTAAGGAGATTGAAACAAGAAGTATAATCTTTTGACAGAAGTTGAGGTCTCAATGTGTTGAAAGGTACATCAAATCAAGTAGAAAGCTCAACATGGACCTTCTATGTACAACGAAGAGAATCTTCGATGTCGCCGCAGAAGTAACTTTTTTCTGGGAACATGGTCAACCAGAAATTGTTATGTTTGCGATATAAGCGAAGAAAATTTTGGTTAATTTACTGCATAATAAATATTCTATTTAGACGTGTATAAAAGTTAACTATTCCACAGTTGATGAATGTAACTTCAATTACTCATTCCAGTTACAAAGATATTTTTCTCTTGACTATCTACCTAGCTACAAATACTACTATATCACTCTATTTACAATGTTGTTGTATCCAAAAAAATATGAAAGATCAGACATATCAACCCAAGGCAGCCGAAAACTTGATCCCAAATGCAGCGGACAACATGATTTCGAGAAGTAATGAATTTCACAGTTAATATCTTAGATAGCAGCAACAAAAATTTGGTTCTCCTCTTTTCATCATATCAAAGCAGCAGTGCAATATCTGCTAATATAGCTACTAAGCATGGTCAAGATAGATTAAGTATTCTGTTGTAGCTTTTAATCGATTTGAAAGCGTTGATCAAAATCTCCATAATAGACATAAATCTTAGAGTAAAAGAAATAGTTGTTTTAACCAAGTAATTACCTTGCAACTGTAGGGATAGAATTAAAGACAGCTATATGTTGTTAACAAGATTTTACTTCATGTAAAGTTAACAATTGCAACAGCAGAAAAGAATTTTAAATGCAAAGTGACAATTGGAAACAAAAGTTGAAAGATGATCTCAGGTGTTATATCCCCATTTTGTGCTTCTATAAAAACTGAATTTTTGCTTCGATAACACAATGGAGAAGGAACAAAGAGAAATTGTAGAAACACGAAACCAAAGGTTGGATTTTTTTCTTCCCAATTTTATGTTCGTTTTAGGGTCCAAAGATTGAAAATTTAGCTTCGACAAACACACAAATATTATACATAAATCGAATCTAAACTGCTAAATTGATTTAATTTACCTGGATCCTGGAGGAAACAATAGAAACCCAGCAACAGTTGAGAATATTAGAGGGTAAATGGATCTAGGGTTAAACCAGGGGAAAAGAGAAGAGCTTTTCAAACCAATAAGCACTGCAAACGTCGATTGTGTTACTGGAGAACTTTTGGTGATAGATTATGCGAAAAGCAGAAGGAATTTTGGTGAGAGGTGGTGCGGAAAGCAGTAGGAAGAAGGTAGCTAAGTGGAAACGAAAAGTGACCAGAAAACGCAAAGGATAAAGGCAAAGCTGAAGCGAGTTGCAGCGACTTGAAATCCTTTTCGAATGACCAAGATATCCTCCAGCGGCAAGCAGAGATGTCGACGAAGAGGCGCCTGCTTCAGCTGTTAACCCGCACTTATAATATAGTAGAATAAGAGCACAACATGGAGCTTGTTTGATAATTAGTAGGTTTTAAAGGAGCAGAATCTCTAGTTTGAGCAAGTTCTCCAACTCCAAGAATCATGTAACAGTATTTAGGCAGAACATTGGGAACCCATTTTGTCCTAATTTTGCCGGTTATTTTCAGTTGGCTAAGAGTTTCTAGTTTGTGCATTTAGCAAGATTGAGGCGCAGGCCACTCTCTCTCTCTCTAGTATTTTTTGTGCCAGCAGCCTTTCTTAGTGTGTGTATGCGCGCATGTGTGTGTATATATATATATAAAGAAGTCCAGGAATGTACACTGAAAGAAGTGAAATTTCATGTACAATATAAATGTCACTTCTATTGTCAATTTTTTTTTACGCAGTGAGCATAAGACCTGAGAGCGCTGACCACCAAAGCTAGGTGTTTGTAGCGTTGTTTCCACCTGTTGCCACAAATAAATTTCAGCGACTAGACTTTTCCCAATGACCCTAGAGTCGCCACGAATAACCTCAGCCTCATCCTTTGTAGTGTTAATATGAAGGATACATTCATGCCACTTCGCATCCAGTAAACAACATTTTGGCTACAAGCACAGCTCTGGAGAAGATACATACCTATCAGCTAGAAACCTTCATACCATCAGTGATACGAACCATGGATTCCTTTCCCAGACAAGTCGGTCACATGAATGGAAGTGTCATTGAATGATGCCAAATTTCGACAACACCAAGAATGAGCTCTCCATCCTTCAAATTTGGTCCACCTGTTACGTTCTTCGTTCTCCCCTTTGACATGATTTTGAGCTGATGAGACTGCACTGTTTGGTTGAGGTAGTGTATTCAGTTTTCGGATGAGTCAACTAGGCATGGTCCCGGACCATGGAAGAAGCACTCAAATCAAGATAAAGTGTCTTGCTTTCATTCATGATTTACCTTATTTGCATCATCTAACAATTTTTTACTTCCTTCTTTCTTCCCCCTAGAGTATCTTGATTCTAGACATGAGGTGGTAATTACAATAAGGTACCAGAATCACAATATATCCAGCATCTTTTATGTTTCTTGGCATGCATATCAGCATATATGCAGGGCAAGAGACTTGCAGAGCAGCCATTCTCTGAATGTAGCACGGCTGAGAACAGCTTAGTCAAAAAAAGAACTGTACAATAAAGAATTGGCAAGAATCATGCATATCTACAACCAAGTAGTCTTTTGGTGAACCATAAACAGCTTTCGACTGATCAAAAATGCAAAATTTATCATATAATTTTGAGATACAAGTAACAATAAAAAATCTAGGAACCTAGTTCTACTGCAAAAATGGAAGAGGGAATGAATACTCTATGCCCAGATTTCTGAGCTGGATACCAAGCTCCACACTAATCATCTTATGAGTATATACATCAAGATCTATCACGTATTGTCAGCAAAGGGAATCCCAACCTTTTACATCAGAGAAAATAGCTTGGAACCCTCTTGTGGTGCAATTGTTTTGTTTTTGTGTTCATAGGCTTTCATGCAGATATCAGGTACGATGAAAGCCTTGATGGTCATTCATCATGTCAGACGCACTCCCCACATGTTGAAGACCGGACCTGTGGNAAAAAGACGATAATTAAGATCACCACAGAAAATCACCATATCAGCTTCAGCAAGGTCAGGCTTTCCCTCATCCGGACTAATTGCTGCAGCCTTTTATAGAGGATGTTAAGCATTAGTTCAATTGTAAAGATAGTATGAAACTGATGAACACAAATACTGCATCATACATCTGTACCACGAAGCATTTGAGCAGCAGATGAAACACCAGCTGCAAGAGAGAGGATCCATGGCAGACCAGAAGAGTAAAGCAGCCACAGTAAATATGTGGAGAAGACAAGAGAGCAAGTCAAAAACAGGTATCGCAGCATACCAGCAGCATTGTCCAGAAGGTTAGAAGATCGAGTGAAAGCCATTGTTCTATATATATGATCAAAATCAGCATTGCGGCGGTTGACTGCTTCTAAATGTGCTGCAAAGTGACAGTTCACAAAGCACATAATCCGATCAAGTACTCTTAACCGCAGACCAACTCCACCCTGCATTATAATTGTATAACCATAAAAACATTGTGCCAGCCAGTTCATTTCCCTTTTCAAGGAGGGAAAGACAATAACTTAGACTAGAAGACGAAGCCCTTAATTTTCTTAAGTAGTGTCTCAATCATCTTCATTACCTCACCTTGAATGACTACCTAGAATTTTGTCCAATTTGACTACTTAAATAGTTTGATGAATTGTAATCTGGACAAGATCAATGATTTGCTATACCTCTTAACATGAAGAGATACTTACCTTATTACCAATCGCACGTCCTAAACCACATGCAACTGCCGCAACGTCAAGGTCCCCCACATGTGCTCTAAGAGTTTTTCTCACCCTAAGTTAAAGATTACCAATCAATAAATCAATTGCACCTCAATCCCAAAATAGTAACGGTAAGTTAAAGGGTGTCAATAAACATAATATTTTAGTAGTATGAATAGGCAGGAGTCAATGAAAGAAATACTTCAGCCAATTCAGTTCGAAATACGAAGTTTTATGAAGAATGGGGTTTTTGAGGCACAACTTTCATTTCAGCTTGAAGAATGGAGAATAGCTCATTAAAATAACCATCATATGTTCTTACCAGATAGCAATAAGCAAGCCAGCTAGTTGCCTTGATCCTACCCTTTCGAAAGTTGATCCTTCGTCCAAAGTTTTTCCTATTGCATCCTGCCACCATTGCCCACTAGAAGTTCCTTCTAGTCCTACCTACAGTTGACATTGCAGGATAATGCTATGCACATTAGACAAGATCAGGAAAGTATAAGGTTTCACTATCCACATGGTTGCCAATATGAGTATCCTCAATTATCAGTAATATCAAATACAAAATTGAATTAATGATAGACATGGAACTATTAAAAGAGATGCTAAAGAGATCAAGTCTTGCTAACTAAATTGAGCATTTAAAGCCATCCAGTACATCACCAAGGCTTATAGCCTAGTGGTAAGTGGGAGTCTCCCATACAATAGGTGTGGATCTGACTCCCACTACCCCGCCCTTCCTGCCCTTCCCTGACACCCCTATGTAATAGAAACAATTAAAAAAAGAAGAAAAGTCAATGAGTATCAACTTTTCTGTGCTCAATGATTGCTTCTTGAAATGCAAAAGTTTCTTTAGTGGATCTAAGATTCTACCTACAGGATACATACAATGGTAGACCATGTCCGCAAATCTCTTAATCATGCTCAGGTATTTGATAACCAATTAGAGACAGAATAGACATTGTATCTTGTCAAATCTTTTAGCTAATGGATTCTTGACTTTTTGGGCCTGAATAATAGATAGCTCAAGTATTTTAATTACTTTTTGTTTTCTACTGAATGCCAAAATTACCAGTTGCTGGTGGTGTTTCAATTAGATTGGCTAGGATACCTATAAGATGTGTTAGCATGTCTCTGTCAGTAAGCGGAGAAGAAGTCAAAGGCGAATATCTCTTTGCCCTCTCTTCAGTCAATGCTTTGGCCTTTGTCTCCTTTTCCCTTTTAATTAGTTTTTGGGACACTGGTGGAGGGAATGAGATGTTGTTTCGCTATATGGATTTGGATAACCCCTCACCTCATGAGCTAGTTTTAGGTTGAGTTAGGCCCAAGGTACATTCTTTGCATGATATTAGACCTAGCCTCATCTCAACTCTCTAGTTACCCAATGTTGGACTCCCATGTTATATTTTCCACGCTCCAAATGTCTAGCCCTGGGCATGCAGGGGCTAGAATGTCCTACATTGGGTGAGGGAATGAATTATTGTTTTCTTATATTATCTTGGACAATCCTCACCTCATGACCTAGCTTTTGAGGTTGAGTTAGGCGCAAGGTCCATTTTCTTTACAAGATGTAAAGGGTGTGCTTTGATAGCTTACAGTTTCTTTTGCAGCAGACATTGCAAGAAAACCTGCTCCCATTTCTACTTCTTGCAAACCAATTACTACAATCCCAACATCCAAAATTGCAGAACCCAGCCAAGTTGCGAGTGCTTCCTGTGACGCTTTTCCTTCACCAACGTTCCACGTACCAACCAAAATCCTAAAATTATCTTGTCTGGTGTATAAATATTTTTTCTCAGCTCTTTCTGATAGTAATATGTTATCAATAGGTCCTGGAGTGGCGAGGGCCCATCCACGTATACCTCCATGATTAGCTAAGCTAAAAACATAGTCATCCCCGACTGCCATTTTTATTACAGGCCTGTTGTGAGCAACCCAACCAGCTAGCAAGTTCCCTTCAAGGTCCAGGACCTGTACCATACCACTTACATAGCCAACCCATATTCGAGAACCATGAGCACATAAGCAAAGAACAGCGCAAGGATGATGATGGAAATCTTGCAAACGATTGCCATTTCCATCCCACTGCACAAGTAAGCCATTTGAACATCCACTCCAAATCATCCCATCAGATGCAAGCACAAGGGCCTCTATTTTCCTAACATCTTCTGCAAATGCCCCTGCCCCCTTTGTTGCAACTCGACGTACAGCACCTGCAGCTCCCATTATAGCATTGCGTGAACGCTGGAAAAAGTTACTTCCTTGTGACTTTTCTTTTTTAGATTTGGAGACAAGCTTGACATTCCTCTCATCTTCCACTGCTTGGTCTGGCATCGATGACATATCAACCCCATTCTCAATCTGACCGTCTATATTATACACTTTCAGGAGTTCCCTACTCCGAGCATCCCTGCAGTTGTCCAACTATCAGGGTAATTAGTGGCTAAACAATTAACCAATAAAGAAAGTTTTACCTCTTCCCTTATGAATTAACATTAAGCAAATACATACATCATGTTCATCTGGAAGCAATGTAGAGGAACATACCATAACGAGAAGGATAGAGATCCAGCTGCCCAGATTTTTCCTCTTACATGATCAGAGAGCAAACACTTTACGTCAGAAGACGAGATATTACATACACCATTCACTGTAACTTGGCTTCTAAGGTCAACGAATGACCTTTCCATGAGTAAAGCAGCCATGTGTGTTTCTTCTGGTGATAGAGAGAGAGATTTGTTTACTGCTTCACGTGGCCAAATCTTTATGATACCACCTTCAAACCCAGACCATATATCACCTGGACCAAGAAGTGAGCAGTCATGATATATTGTTCTCCAAGAAGTGAGTAGTTATGATATATTGTTCTTTTGAACACTATCAGAAGCAAAAGATTATTTCAGCACAATTAAAGCTAAGATAAGGTCAGTGAAGTAGACCAGTAAGACAAGATAACAATAGAAGTTAAATAGGGTGATCAAAATGATAAACATTGACTAGGATCATAGGTTAATTTAATATATGAATTGAAAACGTGAACAAGGAAAAACTAGACATTACCATAAGAAGATATCACCATTGAAAGAACGGGACCACGATGAGCCTGCCAGGAGAGGCCTTCCTTGAAAGGGGAGTCATTAGAACTAGGCTGGTCCATTCTCCAAGACCTAATCTTGCCATCCTTATGCCCACTCCAGATCAACTCATTCCCAGAATCAACCATCAAACATAATGTGGGTGACATATCAGCCGACTCATAAAATGGTGCTGCATCCTCATCCCCTCTCCTTGCACGACCTCCAGCTCCCATTCCAGGCTCATACTGATCTGAAAAATTCCACACTCTTACCCCAGATTCTTGTCCTGCCCACAGTTGTGTCTCTGTACAGGCAATGGTCCTCAAAAATTTCCCAACCTGTATTGTTATTAAAATTTTGAAAAGAGAAAAGGATAAAAAGGAAAAAAAGGTACAGAAGTGCATGCATTACTCACCTAAAAATATCCATCCATTTTAAATATTTTTTAACTGATCCCTNCCCTGATTTTTTTTTTTTTTTTTTTTTTGGGACAATGCACATTTAAAACTGTGTTTCCAACATGTACACTTGTTTCTACCAACAAACACAGTACACTGGATGTGTTTGGTATCATGTTTCTTGAATAATTCAGTTTCTAGTATTTGTAAACTGTTTTCTCTAAAGAAAATATTTTCACCAAAAGACACAATTATTTCGTCACTTATGAGTGGGTGTTATTTTCCTTTACAGATATTTCAAACTCTTATCCCATATCACTTGTTTTAACCAACATGTGTATCTTAGTTGTTAACCTTAATGCTCAAAAATAATAACAGAGCACCATCATCATACCCTGCCCTCCGTCTAATACCCAGGGGGAACTATGTCAAGGAAAGGGGTACAGCTGAATCCTCTTCGTTGAAAAAATCCACCGTGCAAATAGGGTAAAAACGATTTTTTTTTGTGTGGTTAGAATGAAGTGGCAAAGGGGTCCAAAAATTGCTTTAGGCACAGGTTCAAATCTCAGGTCTGACGTTCTAATTTTTTTTAAATCCCTTTACATAAATTTTTGACTCCGCCATTGTCTAATAGCTGTACTATATGTGAGATAGGTTAATGAACAACCAAATAATTCCCCAAGGTAAAACATCTTCCACTGGATTTCCTCCATAAAAATATTGAGCATGATGACACATTTTATATTTGGAAACAGTTTAACTTATAAACTTTCTATTCTATCCTCAATGATATATTGAGCTATACAAATGTCTATTACTCTTGTTTTAGACTACAAGTTTCAAAAGTCTTTGTTTCATAATTTTGTTCACCTGGGTTTCTTTGAGGGGGTGTGGCCTGAGCTCAAGGTAAGAAGGACGTGCAGGATGAAGAGGGGCACGAACTGGGACTTTAAAGATTCCAAGTCCACCACCAGTTCCTTCAAACTCCGGCAATGGCAATTCATGATTGTTATCATCTGAACCATCCGCCGCCAGCCCAATACCTTCAATCTTTTGATTAACCAAATCAGAGGAGCCTTTAATATCATTTGATAAATAATCCTCTTGCGGCAAACCATAATTATGCTTGTGATTAATGATGCGATTATCGAGGCTGCGATTATTGCGGAGCTGGTGCTGGTGGGGCCCACGCTTGTGGTGCGTCCCCGTATATGTTCGCAGCTGTTGGCTTTTGGATTGAACATTTTGTCGAACAGGTTGTATGCTACTCGGATTCTGATCCCATGCACGCACATCATCGTCTTTGCTTTCGTCCATGTAATCAAATCTAGTAGGAGTACTAAATTTTAATTCCAAAACAGAGTCAGTTGTCTAATGACAATATTTTAATTTCAAAAACATGCAAAAAGATTTGAATTCATCAACTCCACAGACTTTTCTATTTCAGAAGATTTTTTTTTTTCTTTATTAAGAAAGACAGAGGAAATTGGGAAAAGCTTCATTTTGTAAACAAGGGAGGAAAATGAGACAAAAAAATGGAATCAAAATTGGGTATGTTTGAAGAATAGATCAGAGTGAAGCAGAGGGAGTGGACATGCATGGGAAGAGGAGCAGAGTTCGGGAGAATTGAGGATAATGCGAGCTTCACTTGCACAACAGCTAATTTTATTTAATAGCAAATGGTAAAATTGGTATGTATCAATTTCATACAAAAAGAAAGTTTAAATTATACTCCCCTTTATTTTATTTTCAGAATTATAAATTTCACATTTTAAAAGGCTTATTTGTAAATATCTTTTAAATGACTTGATAATGTAAAATATTTCTTACACGGATCGTGTATAACTTAAGCTCCAAAAATTATTAAAGCTTTGGAATAAATAATAGTAAGTACACAAAAGCTCTATTTAGTAATTGGTAAAATAACAATAATCCATTAGGTTTTTCAATGTTTTATATGTCATTTGGAATAAATAATATTAAGTACACAAAAGCTCTATTTAGTAATTGGTAAAATAACAATACTCCATTAGGTTTTTCAATATTTTATATGTCATTTGTGTTAGAGTTTTGCCCTGAATTTCTAATCTATTAGGATTATCTTTCTTGAAAGAAGGGAAAAAGACTCCTAGAATGAATAAATCTCCTTCAGATGTCTTATTCTTTTCTTGGAGAAAAGTTTTGTACTTCTATAAATTGACGTTTTCTTCTTACAGCAAGAACAACAACCTCAATCATGTCTAGGGGAGATTATTCTCTCAAAAATTTTATTTTCTCTTTTTATATTAGTGATAGATCATATATAGGTCGATTGACCAAATCATAACAAATTGTTATACCTAGTAATTTATCGCCCACCAAGTTTTCCATTATTAGTTTCCGCATGCACCATGTTATTTTGTCCAGTTTTTATCGAAAAACAAGTATGTAACGGAGTTTGTATCGATGAAGGGTGTTCAGGAAAATCTCCATTTTAATGATGGATTACAATGGAGTTATTTTCTACAAGCTGCAAGATAATAAGAGTTTTTAATGTGGTGAAATCGGATAAATGTTCTACAGTCAAGAATTTTGTATACGGTCAAAATTAATTTCGGCCTTCGTACGATCGATCGAGGTCGAAACATAATGGATCGAAGAAAGATTTTGTAATATCGAGATGGGTTCCGAAAATGGTATGAACGAGCTTCAGATTTCAGGTATAGGTCAAACACCGAGTTCGAAGTCATTATCGAGCTCGGGTCAACTATGATGAGATGATTTCGAGCTTAAGGGGCAGAGGCCAACCGATACCGAGCCCGAATCATCACATGATTCCGAGTCCACATCGAGCTCTAAAGCAATACCGACCAGCACCGAGGCCGATCGAGCTCGAGCTCACAGACAAGAGCCGTTGCAAACACACTAAGGGAGAGAATTTCGGCGGAAATTAGGGAAAAACTGATTTATCATGGGTTCTCCATTATGTATTTTTAATTATATCTAAAGTATGATCCTCCACTATAAAGAGGATGGATACATTTCTGTAGAGGGCAGTTCTTTGGCTTATATTGTAATTCAAGCACCATATTCTCCTATATTCAAGAGTTACTCTTTTAAATTTCATAAATTGATTCATCTTGCTTAGTCCTAAAAATCATCTTCTTTACAACCCTGTTTATTTTGCATTCTTTGCAATCCACATTTGATATTTCTATTTATCCTTACGATTTATATTAAGCTACATCACATATCCTTAGAATTACGTACAAATTTAACCCTATCCATTTTTCGAGTAAAACAGTTTGGCGCCCGCCGTGGGGCTAAGGATAACAGTGGTTATTTGATACGAATCTACAAAAATACACCGTTTTGCACTTATTTCCGAAAGTATCTTGGATTTTGGATTAGCAACGACTAACTACCAATCAAATGGCCTTACCTCTCGATAACGAAGCTGGTCTTCAAGATGAAAACAACAACTTGACACCCAGTACCGAAAGACCACTTGTCAACGCCGTTGGAGCTCGAATCGAAGTGCCGATAGATATCAATTCGCATGTGGCCATTTAGGTGAACCTACATTCTGAACGTGAAAATAGCATTCATGGTGGCACTCTCTCTGCAGCTCGAGATACCCATAACGTCGAGGAAAATGGCGTCAGCTTGAGTATGATTTTCGAAATGTTGCAAGCTCAACAGGAAGCAATCGCTCAGTTGCATAGTCAAACCCAGATACCGAGTAGACCGGAGACCAGTCAACCCCGAGAAATTGCCCATACAACGGAACCAGCTATAGTGAAATCAAATGAGCAGGAGTGAGGGACTAATCCCGAATTTGCTTAGATGTTCGAAGAACCGACCAAACGAATAGAATCGGGAGAAAGGAGGATCGAAGAAAACGACAAAAAGGTAGAGACATACAACTCCAGGGTTGATCAGATCCCGGGGGTACCACCAATATTGAAGGGCTTAGATTCCAAAAAATTCATACAAAAGCCTTTTCCCCCAAGCGCGACTCCTAAACCGATCCCAAAGAAGTTCCACATGCCCGAGATTCCTAAATATAACGGAACTACTGACTCCAATGAACATGTCACCCCATACACATGTGCTATCAAAGGGAACGATCTAGAGGATGATGAGATCGAATCCATATTGTTAAAGAAATTTGGTGAAACCCTGTCAAAGGGAGCAATGATATGGTATCATAATTTGCCATCTAATTCTATCGATTCTTTTGCTATGCTTGCGGATTCCTTCGTAAAAGCACACACCGAGGCCATAAAAATCGAGACCAGAAAGTCAGACCTATTTAAGGTAAGATAAAAGGATAACGAGATGCTAAGGGAATTCGTGTCTCGTTTTCAAATGGAACGAATGGATCTACCTCCGGTCATAGATGATTGGGCCGTTCAGGCTTTCACTCAAGGTTTGAACGAACGAAGTTCGATGCCTTCACGGCAGTTGAAGCAAAACCTGATCGAGTACCCGGCTATCACTTGGGACGATGTGCACAATCAGTACCAATCAAAAATTAGGGTCGAAGATGATCAGTTGGGGTCTGAACCCGCTGCTCGAAGGGATATCAATCGAGAACAAGGTCCGATCAGGGATCGATACCGACCGTATGACAGAAACCACAGGACCAATAAATCGAGACGTAACCCCGGACAAAGCAACAAAAGAAGTGATCGAGGTCAAGGGTCTCGGGGGCTGATGAACAGAAGTGGGTTCGACAGGCCTACCGGATATAAGGAAGCGCCTCGGTTATCAGAGTATAACTTCAGCATTGATGCATCTGCCATCGTGTCGGTTATCGGATGCATTAAAGACACTAAATGGCCTCGACCCATGCATACCAAACCTGCCCAGAGAAATCCCAATCAAATGTGCGAATATCATGGCACCCATGGCCACATAACGGAAAATTGCATGCAACTAAGAGAGAAAGTAGCCCGGTTATTCAATAAAGGCCACCTTCAAGAATTTTTAAGCGACAGGGCGAATAACCATTTCAAAAATAGGGATTTCGGCAAGCAAAACGAACAAGAAGAACCACAATACGGCATTCACATGATTATCGGCGGCGTCGATACCCCTCAAGGATCGGTGCTTAAACGCACTAAGACATCGATTGTGAGAGAAAAGCGATCTCGAACTAAGGATTACGCACCCATAGGAACTTTGTCCTTCAATGATGAAGATCCATAAGGAGTCATACAACCTCATAACGATGCACTGGTAATATCTGTACTTATGAATAAAACTAAAGTTAAGCGTGTGTTAATTGATCCAGCTAGCTCGGCCAACAATATTAGATTGAAGGTCGTACAACAGCTCGGTCTACAGGACCAGATCGTACCCGCGACCTTGATTCTAAACGGGTTCAATATGGCATGTGAAACCACCAAAGGCGAGATAATTCTGCCGATAAATGTGGCCGGGACCATCCAGGAAACGAAGTTCCACGTAATCGAAGGTGACATGAGGTACAACGCCTTTTTTGGAAGGCCATGGATCCACAACATGAGAGTTGTACCTTCGACCCTACACCAGGTTCTTAAATTCCCAACATTAAGGGGGGGTCATAACAGTGTACGTAGAACAACCGGCCACAAGAGAAATATTTGCTGTCGAGAAAACGAATCTGATATCCTCGCCTTCGCCAATAAAAGGATCGAGCTCAAAAGGGGAACAAGATGCCAAATAACAATCACAGACACCAGCTTTAACCCAACCAGAAAATCAGAAGATCGATGAAGATGATGATCAAAAGATTCCTCGATCCTTCATGATTCCCAATGATTCCGATGCTACCCAACCAACGATTGAAGAGTTGGAGCAAGTCATATTAATTGAGCATTTGCCCGAACGAAAGGTATACCTAGGAACGGGATTAACCCCCGAACTCAGGAACAAGCTTATTCAATTTCTTATCGATAACATGGATTATTTTTCTTGGTCCCATTTAGATATAACATGGATCCCACCGGATATAACGACGCATCGGCTAAGCCTGGACCCTAGGTTCCAACCAATAAAGCAAAAGAGAAGGCCCCAATCCGAGGTAAAGCACACATTCATAAAGGACGAGGTAACTAAACTTCTCATAATAGGGTCCATTCGGGAGGTGAAATATCCTGAATGGTTAGCCAATGTAGTTGTAGTCCCTAAAAGAGGGAACAAACTTAGAATGTGTGTAGATTACAAGGATTTAAATAGGGCATGCCCTAAAGATTCTTTTCCACTGCCTAACATCGATCGCATGATCGATGCCACGACCGGCCACGAGATCCTTACTTTTCACGATACTTATTCCGAGTATAATTAAATCCAAATGAACCCGGAAGACCAGGAAAAGACTTCATTTGTCACCAAGTATAGAACATATTGTTATAATGTGATGCCCTTCGGGCTAAAAAATGCAGGAGCTACTTAACAACACCTAATAAATAAAATATTTGAGGAAAAAATAGGTAAATCAATAAAAATTTATATTGATGACATGCTAGTTAAGTCACTTCGCGCAGAGGACCATTTGACCCATTTGCAGGAAACATTCGGGATTTTTAGGAAATACAACATGAAACTCAACCCCGAGAAATGTGCTTTCGGGGTCGGGTCGGGCAAGTTCCTCGACTTCATGGTGTCAAATCGGGGGATCGAGATTAACCCCGATAA